ACACACACACACACACACACACACACACACACACACACCCCGCACTCACGGAGGAGCTGGTTTAGCTCTGTACTTCTGAGTGCCATCTGCCAAGTCAACATGCGCCTGTCTTTAGGGAGAATGCGTAAACCTGGAAAGCATTTTACAAACGTGTCTGACCTCAGATTCATTTCTCAGGAAGCGTCTGACACACCAAAGTTCCTTACATGATGCTTGGAAATGCATCAGAATGACTCCCTTAGGAAAACGGAGACATCCTGTTCTCTTGTTCTCCCTCCTTCCTTCACTTCTTCTGCCCCACACCATTCCGCCCTGATGGTGTTGTGTTGTGTGTTGTGTTTCTTTCCTTTTCTGATGCTGGATTTTCTGACTATGGAAAAGCACCACTTTGGACCTTGGTATCGTCCTCCAGCTTTGCTGTCCACCTTATTTTGTAGTCAGTAAGCAAAGTAGCAACCTGGACTGGAAAGGATGTGGGCCAAGTTTGAGGATGTGGCTGAACCCCCAGACACACGCAACGTCCTTTCAGAACCAAGAAGTAAGACCCCAGGATGCCATCATCTGCTGTGCACCCAACCAGCAGGTCCTACGAGCCGCCTCCCTGCAGCCGCGGGGGGCGCCGGCTTCTCCTGGCTCAGGACCACGGCATGACTGGCGGCGGCAGCCTCCTCCCCTCGGGTGTCCTCGGGAGGCTTCCTCACGCTGTCCCCTTTGCCTCCAGACTGAAGGCTGGCGCCAAGGATGCCATCGAAGCACTTGGAAGTAAAGAAATCAGGAACATGAAATTCAGGTCAAGCTGGGTATTTCTTGCAGCAAAAGGCTTTGAACTCCCTTCAGGAATTCAGAGAGAAAAGGTGGGTGCTTTTCAGCGAAAGGCTGGGATCTGAAAGGCTGCCAGTGGCTGTCGGTAAGCCTGGCCCGGTCCCCTGGGGTTGGTTCTCGGCTGAAGTTTGGAACCCTCAAGTCTCTTGAATAGAAGATTCTGAGAGGGCCCTGGGACCCGCCTCCCACCCCTGCAGCCAGCAGGCAGTTCAGGCTCCTCCCACGGAGGAGGTCAGCCTGGCCCCTGCTGGGGACAGTGATGGCACTCCCCTCCTGGGGGACAGAGGGGCTTCAGGGGCCAGGCAAGGCGGTCCCACATTAGCCAGCCCTTGATCAGTACAGCCGTCCTCTCCTGTCCTACCTTGTCAGGTGACAGATCTTGCCCTTCCATAAGGACCCTGTTTATCAGAGCAAAGGGAAGAGCAGAACCGGGTTCTGACTTACTGAGTCTCCTGTGGAGAGCCCAGCCGAGGGTGGCTCAGGGCCAAGGTTGGAGTCACCTTCAGGACCGTAGCACCAGCCCCATTCATTGAGTCCTTGCAGCTGTTCCGCAGGTCGTTCTGGTGCTCAGAGCTGTTAGTGGCCCTGGGCCGACTCCACTGCTGGACAGCAAAAGGAAGTTGGAAGATGCTTCTGTTCACCCTCTTGGTCTTGTAAGAGGGGAGGAAGCTGAGTCCCACCAACTGAGGACTAGTGAGGGTAGACGCTCTTCTGTAACTGAGCTGGGGCCTGGACTCCAGGACACGCCCTGCAAGAGACCTCCACCCGAGCCTTGCAGAGGGCTTCCCCAGGCTTCTCCTCTGGGTCTCTGTCCCCGCCTGCATGCCCAGGACACCCAGGCTCCCTGCAGCGGGCATGCAGGACTTGGTGTCGGGGTTTTTTTGTCCTTTCTTGCCTGGATTATAACATGTTAAAGGCAGGAACCACAGTTTTCCTTAAATTTTGTCATCTCCAAAGTCTCAACAATAAAAAAAAATTTATCACTAGATTAGTTTTAAGAAGATCTATAGGTAGATGGGTAGATAGATGGACAGATGTAGCTCTAAGTGAGACTTATCCCGGGGTTACAAAGTTAGTTTAACAACCCCCAAATCCGTCAGTATACCAAACCACATTAATAGAAGAAAAACCCGGCCACCTCCACAGACACTGAAAAGCGCCCAACGCCCCTTAGTGATAAAAGCACCGGACACACTAAGAATAGAAGGGGACTTTCCTGGTGTGTCACAGTACATCTATGAAACCCCACAGCTAACATCATGCTTAGGGTGAAAACCAGACAATTTCCCTTCAAGATCAAGCAAAAAAAGAACATCATCATTGCGACCTTTTTCTTCATTGTAGTGAGGATTCTAGTGAGGGCAGGTGGAGAAGGCTGCACAGTGGTCAGTGCTGCCCTGTGTGTGCGAGGCCCTGGGTCCCATCCCAGCACTGCCAAAAAGAAGTAAAAAGTCATCCACATTGAAAAGAAATCCAACTCTCTCTATTCACAAATGACACCATTTTATGCATAAAAACAACCTTAAAGAATCCACTAAAAACTATTTAAACTGAGGGAAAAGCTTAGCAAGTTTTTAGAATATGAGATCAATGAAAAATCAACTATATTTCTATTTTTTTGCAATGAACAATCAGAAAATGAAGTTCAGAAAATAATTCTATACAGAGTATCATTAAATAATAAAACAAAGGAAAAAATTTAATGTAGGGGAATAAGACTTGCATACTACAACTAATAAATCACTATTGATGAAAATTAAGAAAAAGGGAAGATAGTCCATGTTCATGCATCAGAAATTTTAAAACTGTTTAGAAGTTAGAACTACCAAAATTGACCTAAAGGTTTAATGCACTCTCTATTTCAGCTGACTTTTCAAAATAGAAATTGAGAAATTTATCCTAAAAATAATATGAAAATTCAAGGAACTCAGATAGCCAAAGTGGTCTTGAGAAAGAAGAATGGAGGTACAGCACTCCAGGTCCCAGTTCTGAAACACATGACATGCTACCATCATCCATATGGTGTGGTGTCGGCATAAAGCCAGGCACGTGGTCAGTGGAGTAGAATTCAGACTCCATAAAATGGGAGTCCTCATGGCTTGACCAGCTGACTTTCAACAAGGACACCAAGGCCGTAACTGGTACAGATAAAACCAGCTATCCATGTGTACAGAAATGGCTTGGGTCCCCACCTCATGTCGCATGCAGAATCTAACTCAGAATGTCAGGGCTAGAACTTCAACTCAGAAAAAAAAAAAAAAAACCATAGGCGTGAATCTTTGTGACCTTGGTAGGCAGCAATCTCATGGCAATGACATCACTAACAACAAAGGTCAATGCTTTTCATCAAAACAGAACTTTCCTGCTTCAAGGACACCATAAAGAAAGTAAGAATCAGAGAATTCTCACGGAATTGGAGAAAATATTTGCAGATAATAGAATGTGTTCAGAATATATATATAAAGAACTCTTGCAGCTCAATATTAAAAAGACCACAAACTTATAAAGGGTACAAATGATTTAAAATGCTTCCTTTTCAAAGAAGGTTACAAAAGTTCATGAATAGCCGTTCAGCAGCGTTAGTGATCAGGGAAATGGGATAAAATCCCAATGACATGCCACCTCTCATACCAGGATGGCCACAGCCCTATTATTCCCAGTTTAAAATAAACTGGTCTGACTCACTGAAGAGAAATTGAGACTCCTCAGGCCTGTCAAGTGGTGCAGCCTGGGCTGAGCTGGGCTCAGTGGTGGAGGGCTTTCCTGGCATGTGTGAGGCTCTGGGTTTGATTCTCAGCACCACATATAAATAAATAAAATAGAGGTCCACTGACAACTAAAAATTTAAAAAAAAAATGGTGCAGCCCTTCGGGGAGCATTCTGGCAGGTCCTCAAAAGTTACACAAGCAGCTCCCACAGGACCCAGCCATCTCACCCGAAGTGCGCAACAAAGGCGTGAAAACATGCCCTCGTACAAAATCTGCTCCCATGTGAGCACAATCATTTGAGCAAGGAACTCTAAAGTGCCCTGAGAAACACACACAGTGCTGCTCCTGGCTGAAAACTGATACCAGTCAGGTTTGCATTCACATTAAGTGCATTAAAATGGAGCAGAACTTACAGTTCATTGTCTTCTCTCAAGCCACACCCCAGGTACTCCAGCTGAGGGTGGCTAGTGGTGACCGTTGAGTAGCCTAGGCCACAGAACATTTCCGTCTCTCCAAAGTGTCCTCGAGCTACATTCAGGGTTATCAAGAGGCGTGTAAAGAGGAAATCCAAGAGCCAGCTTGTGCTGGAGCAAATCCCGCTCCAGGAATTGTTTCTGCTCATGTGACTTTGCTCAGTGACAAAGATTAAATATTTGCTGACTAGCTTAGTGAATAAATAAAACACTTATTTATTCTCCTCTCACACAGATCAACCACTCGGATAATTCGAGGAACAGGTATGCTGGCTGGCCGGCAGAGATACAGATAGAAGGCTGCATACCGAAGGACCTGCGGTAGCATGACGTGTTCCCCGGGAATGGCTTTGTGGGTGGAGGCAGCTGGGCTGTCCGACATCAATCCCTGAAGAATATTTTGCTAGTTGATAAAATCTTGGCACACGATGTTTTTACACTGGTGCTTGTGTCCTGAGGCTGGCGATGAACAGGAAGCTGAAAGTGTGGGAATTCATGGGGGACCCCAGATGTAACATGGAGAGTGTGGGGAGCACCCTGCACATCTGGTCTGGAGCAGCAGCCCATGTGGTCCCCCTAGTCCTGCGGAGAGTCTCTATCCTGAGGTCTCCGAGAATGTCCTGGCTCCCAAGTCATCTCCTAGGAGAATGAGCTATGGTCAGGAGGGTGCAGCCGACATCCTTGGTCACTTCAAGTGACATTCTTGGGCTGTGGATTTTTTCATTTATTCACTCATTCCACCTGGGTGCTGCCTGCCCCTGGCACTTGGGAGCCCGAATCTTTGTAGAGGCCTCAGCAAATCAAGGATGGGATGGTGGCCCAGGCCCAGTTATGGGCTGAACGGGTCCCCCTAAATTCATTTGTTGATGTTCTGATGCCCAGTAAATACCTCAGAATGTGACCTTATTTGGAGATGGAATTTTTGTAGCTGTAGTCAAGACGAGGTCATCCTGGAGCCGGGTGGCCCCTCTTCCATATGACTGCTGCCCTTACAACAAAGGGCAGACCTGGACACAGATGGACACAGGGAGGAGCCTTGGGAGGATGAAGGCAGAGACCTGGAGAAGCCTCTTCAAGCTGGGAAACGCGAAAGGTTGCAGCAATACCAGGAGCTGCGAAGGTGTGGGACGGAAAGCAGCTCGTCCCCGGCTCTGTGTGCTCTTCAACACAGCCAGAGAGCCACCTCCCTGGAGTCCCCAGGCCAAGAGCAGCCGTGGCTCGGCACCAGCCATGGCCTCTGAGCATCCTGGGCCCTGAGCGGACTCTGTGGAGGCAGGGCCGTCACTAGTGCCCTGTCTCCAGGGATGTCCAGGAAGTCGGCACCATGTGATCACTGAAAAGCTGCTGAGATCACGGTGACTTCTGGAGAAGGTGGACAATGGAGGCACTGGAGGGCTAAGTGGCCGCCAGGGCAGGGAGGGCAGCGCGTGGGGGATTCAGGGGCTGACACCACGTGCATTGGACTATAGGTGGCTCCAGGTCATCATCCAAAGCCTCAGAATGGACAGCACCGAGAGTGAACCCTAATGCTGAGGCAGACGCTGGGTGACAATGACGTGTCAGCCCAGGCCATCAACTGTCACAGAGTGCCCTCTGGGGTTGGTGGTGGGCCGCTGTGTGTGAGTATTCAGGACAAATTCAGCAATCTGTACCTCCTGCTCCATCCTGTGTGAACCTAAAACTGCTCTTGGCAATAGTGTATTACAAAAAAGCATCCACACAGGAGGACAGGCAGGTGGCAGCAAGCTGAGCCTCCTGGTCACTTTGGACTTGAGCCTGAACCTACCACCAGCTCCCCAAGGGGGGGAGGGTGGGCCCCTTGGGCTTTCCTCAGGAAGTGGGGGGTGGGCTGGGTCCCCTAGGTGTGACCCTTCCACAGAGAGGACAAGCTCTCTGGAGCAAAAGGCCCGGGAGTCCTGATTTCTCGGCATTTTGGCCTTTCGCCCCCGGGGCGGCTGGCACCACAGTCTGCAGCCACATGGAGCTTGCTCTGGATTGAGAAGAGGACCCTCCCTTCAGCTGCCCTTGTCTCTCTCAGCCCTGGAGGCAGAGGCACTGCCAGCCCTGTCCTGCCAACCCCGTAGATGGACGCCATGTTTGAGGGCAGCATCCGATGCTCACCCAGGCATCCTCGCTGGGCCTGGGGCTGGCTGTGGGCCCTGCTGGTTACCCTCATGCTGTCCTGTGTCAGGGTCACAAGGACTCAGCCCGCTGCAGCAGGTGAGGCTCAGGGAGGCTGAGATCAGTGTGCCTGGTCTCACAGAGGACAGGGATGAGTGGACTCCACTCCCAAGGGCACAGAGCCCCCGGGCTCTATGGGGCAGGGCAGCTTATGGTTACTCTGTTTCGTTAGTCCAGGGAAATGTTTTGTGATCTCTGTTTCCACCACTGAGAAGGCGAATGCAGGATGAGAGGCCTGGGGGAGGGGATGCACCTGCCTTTGGAAGGCTCCAGATGTTTCCTAGTGGCTACAGACAGCTGCACGTGGCTCCAAGCAGTTCCAGTGGCTCCAGACAACTCTAGATAGCTCCAGACAGCTTTTAGATGGCTCCAGGTAGCGGTGGGCTGTCAACACACAGGGGCTGTGACCCTTCCAGGGAGACCAGTAAGCAAGGTAGGAGCAAGCATTTGTCAAGCTGCATGCTTGACCCTGACTTGTTGCTGAACCAAGAGCTCCTGCCCAGTGGCTGTGACCATGTCCCTTCTCTGGGTTTCCAGCTCCTAACTAGGGGAAGGGTGACAGTGGTATGGTATGGACACTCAGGGCTTTGAGATCACAAACCTGAGAGACTGTCCCAGACCTTGTCCCTGTCAGCCTATGCAGTCCAACCCAGCAACCACGCACAGCTATGCAAATTAATTTCAATTATGTGGAATCCCAACCCACAGAAGCCACAGTGCACTGCTCAGCACCTGTGTGGAGCAGAGCAGAAAGGCCCAGCACAACATGCAGTCACTGCAGCAATTTCCTTGGGACCTCCAGCTGACAGACGCTCGGTCTCCAGGGGCAGCCCCCCCGCCTCCCCTGAGACTCCTTAGCGATGGCGACTCCGGCCCACCCTGACCTGAGGGATCAGACCTCTGGAGTGGCCTGGCTGTCTTCACAGCCCTGCCAGGTTGAGACACAGCTCCAGGTGAATTGCAAGAGCCCGAGGACAATTCAGCTGTGTTTCTGTGGCCAGACACTTGGCTTCATGCCTCTCATGGGGCGCTGGTGATGGGACAGAGACGGTTCATCACAGCAAAGCAAAGCCTAGCAAGAGAAGAGATGGCTGGCCTGGTCCCTGACCTGTTCTGAATGTGCTCAGGTGGGAGGCGAGTCCTGCAGGGAGAGCCCTTGGCATCTGAAGTGCAGCAGATGTGCCATCCACATTGTCCCCTGAGCAGCAGGGCATGTGCCTGGTAAACCTGGCTGGTGCCAGGAGGCGGGAACCATAAAGATAAGTGCCTGGCGCTTTGGCGGTGGTGGTGGCCACCAGCCAGCCCTGCATGCAACTGGCAATTTCTAGAGGAAACGGCTGCATTAGGGCACAGGGTGGCTCCATTCTTCTCTTGGCCACCTAGGCCACTGGATTTGGGGGATAGCTTTGCTCACTATCATGCAGAACCTGGGGCTGGGTGGGGAAGCATTGGGCTGAAACCTGTCTCTGAGGCTTCGGATGCCGATTCTGCAGTATTCTTGGCACAGTGACATGGCCTCGGTGATGGGTGGGACACTGGCTCCAACTCCTGTATGTAAATACTCCCACCACATTCTCAGCCAGCAGGAGCCAGCTCCAGCATGCAGGCTGGGTGCTGAGTCCACTTTGTAACTGGCACTGAGTAGAAAGGAGACATGGGTTTGTGCTGCAAGTTCTAAAAACGGTTCTTTGCCATTGCATTGGAATTCTGTTCACAGCCATCTGCCACAGAGGAGGGATGCAAGCCTCTCACTCCCTGCCCTCCATCCACACCCTCTCCTCCTCCCCAGCAGCACTCAGGGATTCCTATCTTAGGGTTTCTTTTTAAGGAAATTTTGTGCATATTCTCTGGATGCTCACCCTAGGAAAGAAGCCCCTCTCCAAGGACTAGTGTCTCTAGATTCACAAGCACATCCCAGGGATCCAGTGCTCAATAAATATTTGTGAATGAGTAGAGGAATAATTACTAGTTCCTTAAAAAGTAATAAAGGGGCATATGCCCTGGGAGACGAGGTTTATTTGCTGTCTGCTGGTGTGCAGATGTCACTGTGGATGATGCGGGGCTGGAGTGAATAGAGACAGCAGAGCAGCAAAAGATCCCAGTGTCCAGGTGTCCAGGACCCCATGGAGCTCTGGCATTGCTTGCAGCTCAGTTGTGATGGACCTGCCCATGTAGGGGATACAGATGGCCTTAGAGATGGCTGCTGTGCAGGGTAGGTCCTGTCCCTCATGCCCATTTCCACTTTTCTAAATTGTTGTGTTTGCTTTCATCCTGACAGATTAAACTTCCAGACTCGGCAGGGGAATATCCTCTAATGAGAGGTGCTGGGGGACCATGTGTCCTGGAGAGTGCTGGATTCCCATTCCCACACCTGTCCACATGCCCCTGCCTCTCAGTCTCTCAAGAATTCTAGGAGAGGGGCTGGGGATGTGGCTCAAGCGGCAGCGTGCTCGCCTGCCATGTGTGCGGCCCGGGTTCGATCCTCAGCACCACATACAAACAAAGATGTTGTGTCCACCAAGAACTAAAAGAGAAATATTTTAAAAAATTCTCTCTCAAAAAAAAAATGTTAAAAAAAAGAATTCTAGGAGAGACAGACCAAAGGCAGCCTGGGAGGCGGACGGCTCCCCCTGCAGAGTGCCTGGAGTCCCCCCTACTCCTGAGCTCTGGGCCACGCCCTTGGTGGTCAGGAGCTCTCTGCATCTCCGCCCTCCAGGGCCTTCCTGCCAGCGACGTGCACAGGGCTTTGGGACTGTAATGCTGTGGCTCTAAGTATGCAAGGAAATGGCTTCCCCCTGTAGTTTCTGGACTTTTTCCAGCTTTTGGTGGGCCATACCTACAAGTCTGAGCTTTCCCAAATCCCTTTGGCTGCCTGGAGACCCCTGGTGGAAAATGGGAGGAAGGGCAGGAGGTACTGGCTGAGCTGGAACTGACCAGGCTTGAGTAATTCAGTCAGACAGGGCTCCCTGGGAGTGGACAGCCGAGCAGGGCCACCACCCAGCACCACAGGGCCTGCCTGGTGGAGGGAGGTGGCACTCACAAGCATATTTTCTTGCTTCACCTGGTCCCCTCAAAAGTCCTGTGTTGAAGCCCTAACCCCCAGCACCTCAGAAAGTGGCCTCATGGGAAACAGGATCCTGTGGTGACATTAAGGTGAGGCTGGGTTAGAGCAGACTGGCCCCCTAGCCAACACCACAGTGTCCTTCTCAAAAGAGATTTGGACACCCACAGCAAGGGGACACCACACAAGGACAGAGTTGCGCTGCCCAGAAGGCGCCTCAGAAGCTGGAGGGAGGCGTGGGGCAGGGCCTGCCCACACCCACAGAGGCAGTGCGACCTCACACCCTTGATTTTGAACTTCAGCCTCCAAGACTGTGAGAAGAGTCTTAGTCTGAACTAAGTATTTGGGGTACCTTGGAACACAATTGCAGGAGACCTGATAGACCTGCATTTGGGCACACACTATACTAAGAGACCTAACCTGTTCCCCCACACACTTCTCTTTGGGAAGAGTTGGCATCAGTGTCTCCCTGTATGCAAAAATCTGAAGGCACAATAATTTAACAAAGCGGTACAAGAGGTACCAGGGGCTTTTCTACTTAGAACACGGGTCTGAGAGCATGGCACCAAAGCACCACTCTGACCCTGTGAGGACACAGGACATGCTGGGGACAATCTACTGCAAGGCAATTTGTGATTTTCTATTCAGGAGATTGATAG